ACACACACACACACACACACACACACACACACACACACAGACATGAATGCTAAACCACCACACAGAGGAACAATGAGTTGGCACAAAGTGGGAAACATGAGTCAGCACACAGCTTGCCGTCCCACACATTAAAGTCCACATTGTGTGTGGGTCTGAGGAGAAAACGTCTGAAATGACTGAACTAAATTTAAAGCCCTGGTTCCTAAAAATGGCCCAGATGCCGTTATTAGTGGTCATTTTGTTCTGCACTGCACGTCTGATTCATGCAGAACTGGGTTCGTGCTGCTGGTTTATTAGACGTACAAGAATAGTCTGAACTCAAATTACACACTGCATTTACATTTGCATTTTAAAAGTGCTCAGTTTCAGCTTTGCACAAGTATTTCTTCATCTCACAGGTTGAAGAGACCCCAAATACAGTAGCAGTGGTTGTATTAGAAGTAGCAGAAGGAGTAATAGGATTAGTAGTAGAAAAGGTAGTAGGAGAAGGAGCAGAATTAGTAGCAGTAGTCAGTAGCTGTGGTAGAATTAGTAGAATAAGTATAAGTAGTAGTAGTAAGAGGAGGAGTGGAAGAGTTTCAGTAGTAACAATTAGTATAAGGAGTAGTAGAGGGATATTAGTAGTTGTCGTAGGTGGAGGAGTAGTAGTACTGGAATAAGTGTTACTATTAGAATTAGTAATAGAAGTCTTAATAGTAGAAGGATGAGGAGGAGTGGAGGAATAGTTGTAGTGGTTGAATTAGTCCTATAATAAGTAGTACTAGTAGAATTAGTAGTAGTAGCATAGGCTTTATATAAAAGGTATAGGAGGAGGAGTAGTAGTAGAGTAGTAATAGTAGTAGCAGGAGAATAACTAGCAGAATAAGATGTAGTAGTAGTATTAATAGTATTCTTTGTAGTAATGTCAGGTCTGTGAGTCCACTTGAGATACTGGCTCTGGATCAGTTTAACTTAGCTCAGCACACACACTTAAAACAAAGGGAAAGTGCATTAAAACTAAAAGGATATGCCTCAAAGTGTCTGTTTCATGTTGATTTAATGCACAAACACTTCCCTTCGCCCAGTCGACTGCTGTGACCTTTGGAAGTCCTGTGTATTTTAAGCAGAGGCAGTAAATTGCTGTGGTTTCACATCAAAGTCGTGTGTGAGCAATGCTGCTTCGTATCATGGCATGTTTAAGTTTATTGCAGCTCTCAAAACACGCCAGTGCACGGGACAGACGTGTGCGTGGAGACAGACACTGCTCCGCTCATTGTTTAATTTGATCACAGAAAATGTGATTGGCCACTTTACTGTCTGGTTCCAACTTGTCATGACTCAGAGGGTTCAGGAGTGTTTGGTTCTCTGTCTCCGCTCAGTGGTCAGAGTGAGTCCTGACAGTTCATACCATCAGAACCCTGCTCTCCAGATCCCACTGATATACAGCACTTTACTGTCGTGTTTTAACTCCGTCCAGCTCTATTACTCTTTACTCTCCCTGGCCGACTGACAAAACCACAGCAAATCACATCGTTAAAGTGGGGAAAATCTCTGGTGGAACAGTGTAGAGTTCAGGTAAAATAAATCGCATGTTTTTTGTGGTTTCCAGCAGTGTTACATGTTCTGAGTCTACTGTACTTAGTGGTGGATGGAGAGTTGACCCGTGCACATACTCTGAGGCTTGCAGAATCCCTGACATCTTCTAAATCACTACTAAAAACACGTTTTTAAAAAGTCTCTTATTAATCTGAGAACATTTGGAAAAAAGGAGGAAATCGGCACATCTAGATGTTGCGGATTCCCTCCTTTTTTCAAACATTCTGTGATATTTTATTAATCCAACACCCATCAAAATGTATTTGTACTTGACGTGCATGTTTTTCCAATATTTATTAATCCTAGTACACATTTTTTTATAACCTACACATGTTGACTGCTTATATTCATGAGGTTTTTCCCTTAGTCCTTTCATCCTGGTCCAGCTATTTAAAAATCATTGTAACTGGGATTTTGTGCTGTATAAATAAAGTTTATTGCTATATTAGAGTATTATTATGAAAGAAAAGCAAATCCACAGCTGTGCTTCCTGTCCTGAGTGTAACCTCCTCAGACTCAGAGGAGATCATCAAATTTAAACTCCTACAAAGGCTCTAATCCTGATCTGACCAACTGGAGGCCCAGACTGAAATATAAGCACTCCAGTTATTATCCATGACCAAGACTATAGTGTTCGAATTTTGCTTTCTGCTCCTTAATAATTAGGTTAGCTCCAATAGAGCAGGTATCAATGCAAATACAGAATGACAAGATTTCTTAAAAGAGCAGATAGTTTGAGATTGAATATGTGTCTATAATCCTTCTCTTCTTCTCTCCAGGTCTCTCCTACAGCAGCTCCAGAAGCTTCAGTCACTGATTTCAGGGAAAGTCGTTCCCCGTTCTAAAATGGCCTCAACTCAAACAGGGACGTGCCTCATGGTAAAATACTTTTGTTGTTCTTAAGCTCTCCACACACACAAAATACCATACATGTATAATTTTAAATTCTAATCTTATGTACATTCCGTTGGTTTTTCATCCCTTAAAAGTTACTGACAAGAGAGCACACCATGTCTTTGTCAAGTAACTTCGCCGTGATGTAATTTTCATTATTGGTTTTCTGTTCAATTTCTTGACATGCATGTCGAATGGATAAAAGGTTGTCTGGAGATACTAATGAAAGTCTGGAATTTAATTATCCCAGATTCAGACTTTACTCTCCCTTCAGTTCTCCTGCAGAAGGCAGAAGAACCACAAACACCACAATTCAAGCCTCGTGTGACTAATGTCTTCTCAAAAAGAAAAACATCTGGGTCCAGCTCCTCCTTATTATTTTTATAAGTAAATACTCATCTCATGATTACTAATTCATTCAGTCAACTATGAACCTCCTACACACAGACACTAAAATGAAATTAGCTTTTTAAATTGTTTGCCATAATCATATCTGATGTGTAAACACCTGTTGAACTTCAGCAGGTTTATTAAGTGTTTCTTCTTCTTTGTGTGCAGATGGTGGCTGTGTGTTTCGTCCTGGTGTTGGGCTCCTTCTCCCCTTGTCTCTCCCCCCTCTCCTTCCTCAGTCACACCTCCTCCTCTTCCTCTCACTCCTCTCAATCTCCCCCTCTTCCGTCAGCGGACCTCTACACCACCAGTCAGGGTGCGTCAAGAAGTATTTTCATTTCACACCATATTGGTGCACAGTTTGTGATGTTCAGAGTAAGGACAGAGGGAAAACACCCTTTTTGAGACCAGATGCCATCAAGTTAACCACACACTTTATTCTGCCAGGAACCGTCCTGTGAGTGTTGAGGGAAAAAGTCTGCCGGGCTGCACCCAAGCTGAAATCCTGAAATTGGCCACATTACCCTACAAATGTCTGGGCCGCAAAAAAAATCATGGCACTTCTGTCCTTTAGATTGTGATATTTTATGTGTTAATGGGAAAGTTTTGGTAAAATAATTTGGGATTGGTGAAGAGTAAAATGTGTTGTTTTGTCTCACTAACAGTTCAAATCCCAGAGACATTAATTTGAAATTATTTAAAACACAGAAAAATGAAAATTTTGCTTAATAAATGAGAATATCCATCTATAAATGGACATAAATATAATGTTTGGTTTCACATGTTCACATTTTACCAAATTCTAGAATTAAGTAACTTCAGGCCAAACTACATGAAAATAAAAACTGCGGTGTGTTTGTGTTACAGTCCGCTCCCGCAGCCTGCTCTTCTATAATGAAGGGGCCCCATTGGAGGAGAGTTTAGTGACATCAGAAGGGGAGAGGCTACAGTCAGAGGCCCGCTCCCACATCCAGACGAGCCGTTACACCGCTGACGCCAACAGAAACCACACAACTGGGCCCGAGTTAGACCGGAGGTGAGAGACACACTCCACCGATACTCTAATCTTTATGTTTTATATATCAAACTGTTTTCATTCATTTTATTTTCATCTGTCCGCAGAGAAACGAAACCAGACGGAGCCTCGAAGTTTTTCTGACAGACTGCACGACTCCTCCTCCCGTGACCTCTCACCTCTGACCCCTAAAAAGCCCAAAACCTCCACATCCCTGGACTCACCGAGGTTTCACATCAACGTTACTCTGTCCATAATCAACCGTCATCCTTTTCGTGAGTGACTCAGACACTGCACTCCTCTCATCCTGAAGTCATGCTTCACTTCAAATGTCTGCTACACCTGAAGATACTTGATTTTAAAGAGACCTTATCATCGGAACTTAAGATATTGTACTACTTTCAAATACCCTAAATAATCCATGTGTATTAATATTGAAGAGATACTTTAAAACCCTGTGTGTTAATTCAAGAGCCTCTGGACAGTGAACAGTGACTTACAGATACAATTTGTACCATAACAACTAACAAATAACTTAGACCTAAAACGTAAAAGTTATTAGTGACTAAAGAGACTCTCTTCTTGTGGCAGAGAGCTTTATGGGTAATGTAGTCTTAATGTTGAGAGAAACACAGAGAAATATATCTTGCACCTTTACATACACATATACATCAATGTAACAAACCTCCACCGTTGGATTGTGTGTTATGTTGTCCTTCCAACCGACTCTAGATTTCACTGGATAAGTGCTTTAATTTAGTATCAATTGTAAAGCATATATTAATCAAGGGCTGGGGATTATTGATTAATCTATTTCTTATTGTTTTGATTAATCAATTAATCGCTGAGTCCAGAAAATGTGAAAGTGTGAAGAGAACCTGTCACACTGTCCAGGTCAAGGTGACATCTTTAAAAAATAAACTTTGGATATTTTCGTACTATTGCAACATACATATCACAAAAGAAGGGAGCTAGAAAAAGCTTCAATTATCAAAATGGATCCTTTTTTGCTATCATCTAAAGAACTAATCACGTCAGCTCTTTTATTTTTTTTGTCCACTCCTTTTAAATGCAACTTGTGTCTCTCCCAACACTTTACCAAAGCAGACATGCCAGTGTGTTAAAAACGAAAACATCCTGTGCCATTTTTTAAAAGTGCCTCTTAAATGTGACTAACTCAGCCTTATACTGTATCTAATGCCCACACATGCAATTATAAACCTGGATACTTAACTTTACTTAACTTAAGCAACATTACACATTTTGTTTACATCTGGCCTTTGGGACTTTGGCTCTAGTTTAACATTTTAATTTACGTGCCTGTGGAACTATTTCTGGGCATAGTAGCAAAACCTTTATGCTCAACTTACCTTTAGGCCGGATCCAGCCTTGGTCTGAAGAGCATAAAAAGACAGTTTTGTAATGTGTTTTCAGGTTATTACAAATTAACATCTGATGTGATTAAAACTCGTTTTTCACTTCCACATCCTTCTCACAACATTAGTACTTTTTGGGCTGGAAACCGTGTTTTCATTCCAACAGAGTATTGAAGGGGTCCTGACAGAGGCTGGGGAATCATGACATAAAAATATTTTTATGGAATTTTAAAAATTGTATATGTAATATATTTGCAGCATCAAAAAAGAGCATATTTATTTTATGCAACAAAAAAAAAGAAATATTGAACTTGTTTTATTTTCTCTTCATTTTTTTCTAAATAATGTTTACAAAAAAAACAAAAATACAACTTATAATATATTCTGAGCATCAAAAAAGGGCATATTTATTTTATGCAAAAAAAAATTAAATGTTTGTTGTGTTCTGGCATTTAGGATGATGTGAAGTTTTATAAGATGTGTCGTTTACATGGTGTTTCATGAATTGTAGAACTTTGACATGATCTGTTTGTGTCTGTTTAACTGTAATACAGTGTTTGTTTCACTGCTGTCGCATGTAAACCCCTGTTGTGATCTTAAAATGCATTTTGTTCTCACTGAACCTTTAAAAAAAATATTTTTTTATCCTTTGACTTAAGTTCTTAACCCAAACATCCCAAAAAATTGATCAATAACCAACTTCAGATATTGACAATCATGTTTAACATTAATATTGTTGTATTGTAACCTCTTAGCGACAGCAGTGCATGTTGTATTTATTCCTGTTTGTAGAAAGTGTGTATATATTGATGAAGCCAATCAGGGGACTAAAACATTCTAGGAAGCAAAAGACATCTGAGGGAACACCAGGACATTTTAAAAACACTTTTATTTCTTCACCACTATTCTAACAATGTCATGGTTTTCCATCAGATTAAAATATGTCCTTGTCCAAGTCCTGGAGGAAATAATTCCAAATTCTGATGATAAAAACCCCTTTTTTTTTTGTTTGTTTAATTTTGTGTCCCTCGTGTGCCGAGTGCAAACAGAAGCATCACGTGACTGCAGCCCGTCACTCCACCATTACCATTCTCAACCTTCACAGTTCCAATGCACCAGTGTACATAAAAAATTACAACCAAATGAGCAGATGTTGTAAATAAAGGGCCTTGTTTTTTTTTTTTTTTATTATATTGTGACATCGTCCAAGACTTAAACCTGTGGAAAGTGGGAAAAAAAAAATCTGAGTTTTTGGGGATTAAAGTGAGGAGGGTTAAAAAAATGTAACCGGAAGGGTGAGTTTTTCCACTTGTGAAGAAACCTGGACAACACAGTAGCTCGACACAGTTTGAATCGAACACCAGGAGCTGCTTGATTATTCCAACCTCTCTGTTAATATCTGAAGAATGTCCAGAGAGAATAATCCAGCACTTTCCAGAGGGTTCAGTTGTTTGAAATGCGTTTGGATATAACGTTGTCCAGGTTTGTTGTATAGTGCCTTGCATGTTCCTCCATATATAAATATGTTATCTTAGTGTAGTCAGTAGAGTAGAAACCAGCAAAATATTAAAAAACTGCATCAGCAACACTGTGTCCGTGGACTTTCTTGCTTTTAATGTGAGCAAAAAAAATTAATTCCTCTGAACCTAGTCTTGACTCGGTCTTGATCCCCTTTGAACGCAACATGACCTTGACTTGCCGTGAGGCCCCTCTGGCTCAAGTCCAGACTGCATTTCAGCTGAAGTGTTTGAGAATGACCTTTTTTCTGAGGTCCTCTGCCTGGCTGTCTCGGTCCTCAGGCCTCTGTTCCAGGCTCTCAGGCTCCTCCGGAGGGTCTGTCCTTTCCAGAGTCCAGGCGTCTAATCCCGACTGCAGGGAGGCGTTGTGGAGGACGCAGCAGGCCAGCAGGATGGATGAACTTCTCGCTGGAGAGTACTAAACACAGAAGAGGAGGGATGAATATCCAACACTGCTCAGGATGCTGGTCTGTGCAGTTTTCTTTCTTTTTTTTTTTTACCTGTAGGTATCCTTTGGTGCCATCTAAACATCTGAATCTGGTCTGGATGGCTCTGAAGGTCCTGTCCACTATCTCAAGTGTTGCACTGTGTGCCAGATTATATTCAAACTCTGCAGGGAATTCTGGGTTGTTGACTGGGGTCATCAACCACTTCCTCAAAGGGTAACGACAATCACCTTGGAAACAGAAAATATTTTACCTCTTGCCTCTCTTCAAACAACAAACATTTCAAGTGGATCTTTTAGACACATTGAGTCTAAAAATCCCCGTCTCACCCAGCAGCCACCCATTCTCAATGTCCTGCAGCTGTTTGCGAAGAGCAGATCTTCCTAGAACTTCTGTTTCTTTGAGTCCACCCGGCCAGTTGGTCTCTGCGCTGAGCAACAGTCCTCGGGCGTCACAAACAAGCTGGCAGGCCACAGAGTGAAACCCTTTTTTGTTCACATACGTCGAGTCTTCGCTGTTTGGAGCTTTGATGGCGACCTGGAGATAAAGAGCAAAGAAGAGGGAGAAAGACGAATCAGTTGCCTGCTATAGAAACCGATAATTGTATGGTTACTATAGTTCAATATATGAACCTGAACACAGTCCAGCACTCCCAGCACATCTGGAAATCCTGCCAGTCTCTTGAAATCCTGGGAGGACAGCTCTCTGCTGGAGGGATCCCTGTTTGGAAAATATTATTACAAGGGTTATTATGCCTTTTCGTCCTCTATGTATGAATGCTTTTTCATTTTCACCCTTAAAAGCTGTTTCTCTTGGCACAGGAATATTATGTAGCCGATATAATATTCATCTAGAAGAGCTTATTATACATTTTTCCATTCAAATTTAAGTAGCATGGATTGTGAACCCTTCAGATGCTGCATTTTCCTTGTGAAACTGTGTAAAGTTACTGAAGTGGCATGCTGTTCACACCTGTTGAACATGATGAACTCCGGAGCTTTCTCCACCAAGGCTTTGGTCACGTTGGACACACATCTCGACATTGAAGCCTGGCTGATCCCTATGGTATCTCCCATGGATGTCTGGAATGAGCCAGATGTGTAAAAGCCCAAAGCTGCCAACACCTGGACATCGGGACTGATGGCTCTGGACCGCTGTGTACGCCTCGACAGATCCTAAAACACAGGCGTGACAAAGCAACATAGTGGTAGAAGCATTCAATGTAATATCAGGCATGTGTGCATTCTAAATTGAGCATGAAGACACACTCACTTCTCTTAGTAATTCCACCAGGTAAAGAATAAAGTCTCTGGGGAAGCCAAAATGTTCAAGGAGGAAGGTGTCGGAGACAGAATCCAGCTCAAAGCGGTCCAGCGTCTTTTGACCTCGACCATGTAGCAGTAGATCACAATCCAAGATGGCTATAGGGATCGCCATGCTGAGGAAAATAAACAAATACGTGAAGTCATAAGATTACTGTCATATTCTCTTCAGTGTATTTACTCCCTGATTATACCATCATCTCCACGGACAATGGTTGAGCTGCAAATGTTAAATATGTTACTTAACAAGACTTTACAATGTTGTGTTGCATATTGCTCACTGACTTTATTATAGTTTTACTAATTCGCCTTGTAGCCAATATAGCCTTTGTTAGCTTACTACTCAGGGAGCGGCTAACACAAGCTAGCAAGCTACTTTATGTGAGAACTGTCTTAATTTTAGATTTTCGGTCCAAGTGGAAACTAATCTACGGCCGTTTAGCCTACTGCTTATAATCTAAAACAGAAAGTGTTGTGAATGTTTGATATATTAAAGAAAAAGGTCGCTTACTTTACTCAGGTCGTTCAGCATTTGTCAACCAAAACAAATCCCAGGAACACTTAACCTTCGGTGTAGAGTCGCAGATTCGACACAAGAAAAGTGCCACCGTGGGTTTAATGTATAAATTCACGTTTCGTAATAAAATAAATAAAATAAAATAGCTCATGCGTATTGGTTTTACTATTTATGTGTATTTATTGTTTGTGTCTTAGCCTTTATGTGGCAAGTATGATTTTTACAATGATCTACGAAAGTGCCGGTGTGGAAGCACTGCGACCCAAACACGTTGACATGGAGGAGATAAACAGACGTCGTTGATGTTGTGTACATCTGAGGCGGATGTTCAAATTGTCGTCGAGCGCAGTTTTCCTCGTCACGTTTGTTAACCGGCTTTTTATTTTATTGAAGCTTCATCTTTAAGAGAACAGCTAATGTAAGTTTTTGCTTTTTGTTTCCCATTAAAGTGCGTTGTAGCCAGCCAGCCAGCTAGCTAGCTAGCGTTAGCTCGCCACACTGTGTCACCGACACACTCCCCTGCCTCGCCTCTGTGAAACGAAAAACACACGCAACCATCGATTCGATTGCTGTTTTATTGCTTTTAAATATATAAGACCGTGTTGCGTGCAATGCAAAGTGGCTGTCAGCTTCCTGTAGTTTAACACGACCTCCAAATCTTACTGGACAATCTCATGTCAACGTGGAGGCCTCGCTACGTGGCTGGTGACAGAAGCTGCTGCTACATGGATGCTAAAAACAACAGTGACAAACAGCTTCTGTTGTGTTATCGATAGACACATTTTATTTGCGTCATTGTTTGTCTTTAATGCTGTTGAGCTGTTTTGTTTAAGCAACATACAAACGGAAGTCAAACTGTGAATATTCACAAATTTCTTTGTTGACCTTTTTCAGCAATATTTGATTGAATCAATCAAATTGGATGAAAGTGTATCGCAGTGTGTTTTCTGCTCATCTCTAATCCAGTGACTGACTGTCATGTTGGATTGCAGGATCGTGTCAACATGGACAGTGACCTAAGTCCCCAGGATAAAAAAGACTTGGACAAGTTCATCAAGTTCTTTGCCTTGAAGGTAATACACCAACATAATGTTCTTTGTTATGAGTATGAATCTAGACATGTCGGTGCTGACTACTGTCATGTGTCCCTGCAGCCTTATGTTGCCTGTTACACTTCATGAACCACCAGCAACAGTGTCCCTGCTACTCTGGATGCTCCTGTAAACAGCTTTTTGTTTCTGTAATTGCCGCTCATAATTTGATTCCTCATTTTGGGTTGTGTGTGTGTGTTTGTAGACTGTTCAGGTGATAGTCCAAGCCCGACTCGGTGAGAAAATCTGCACCCGCTCCTCCTCATCCCCTACAGGCTCAGACTGGGTAAACTCATTTTTCTTTCCTCTATTATTCATTTGTAGTCATTGGTTAGATTGTTGTTATTGTATTATACCTGTAGCTTGTTGTAGTACACTGTTTTGTGCTTGTCTAAGTGTAAAGTTTAGTCATTTTATTGTCCTCCAGTTTAATTTGGCCATCAAAGACATACCAGAGGTGACTCATGAAGCCAAGAAAGCGCTGGCGGGTCAACTTCCAGGCATCGGACGCTCCATGTGTGTTGAGATCTCCCTGAAGACATCAGAAGTAAAAACCAAAACTGATCAGCTACTGCCTCCAAAAATTGAAATGAAGATTTAATTTTTTTTCACGTCACCTCATCTGTTCTCTGTTTCTTTCCCACTCAGGGCGACTCAATGGAGTTAGAGACTTGGTGCCTGGAGATGAATGAAAAGTGAGTTTATATTATTCTATCAGACAAATTGTTAAGGATTGTTAAGATAGGAGGTCTGTCAATGATGACAGAGATTAGTCTTTAGCAGATGCTGAATATTAATGTGAGCCTACATTTTCAGTTTTTTTGCCTGTAAAGCACAAGTTCCCACTTTGAATTATGTCTTGTGATCCACCAGGAGCAGACTTTATCAATTAGAATTTTAGTTCCAATAAGTAAGACAGAAAAAAGCATCTAAAATAATATGCTAAATAATAAACAGTTGATATATTTATATTATTATTATGATAGTTATTTGAAAGGCCGCCAGACTGCTGTATAGAAATTAGGGGTGGGGGAAATTTCCGATTCTTAGATGCATCGCGATTCGGACGTGGACAATTCTGAATCGATTCACAAACGTCAAAATTTCGATTATTTAAATAAAGTAATACAGACGGTTCTAAAATGCGGAAACATAATGGCTGACCGCAGCTACTCATCCCGCCGTGAGATACGAACAGATCCTTTTAATTTAAAAGCAGACGTGTGGAAACACTTCGGCTTCTACAACGTCGACGGCAGAAGCGAACTGGACAAGAGCCACGTTATAAGTAAGCTGTGTCGCGCTCAAATAAAATACTTTGGCAACACAACAAACATGTTTTTTTGCGTCCGTATTCCGTTGTGGAAAATCAGGGATTTCGAGCACTGCCGCATACATTGAAGCCCAGATACACCATCCCATCCCGATTTCACTGACACTTCCATCCCAACACTTTACAACCAAACCAAAACAGAAGTCATGGCCTCGCTGTTGAAGGTAGATAGGATCACAGTTACATGTGATGCATGGACGTCTGTCGCCACCGAATCATTTGTTACTCTAACTGCGCATTTTATCACCGATGATTGAAAGATAAGGTCACATTTGCTCCAAACAAGAGCAATGAATGAAAGACACACGGGTGCTAATATGGCTGAGCTGTTAAGCAGTGCCGTAAATTCCTACAAAATTCTGCCATTTATTGTGGTATAGCAAAATGTTTTTTACTTGTATTGCACAAACTTTTGTTTACATTTTTTCTTAAATGTGTATCAGGACACATTTTAATTTCTGTGATTCAAGATACCTGTTCTGTACAACAAAGTTGTGACTTTCCGGTTTGCACGCATTTTCATTAGTTTAATAAAATATAATGGAAATGAGTTCAACTCTTGTTTCTTATTACAAATGCACTGTTTTTAAAAATTGCAAGAGATTAATGTTTATTCAGTGAGACAAAAGGAAATGTTCTGAAAAAGTGGATCCATATACATAAATTAAAGATGCATCAATAATCGTTTTATAATCGAATCGTAGCCCCTGAATTGTAATCTAATCTTGAGGTGCCCAAAGATTCCCACCCCTAATAGTAATGAGTCTTTCTGTTTTCTGTTTCTGCTGCAGGTGCGATAAAGACATCAAGGTGTCATATACTGTATACAACCGACTGTCTGTGCTTCTGAAGTCTCTGCTGGCCATCACAAGAGTAACACCGGCCTATAAACTGTCCAGAAAGCAGGGACATGACTATGTCATATTATACAGGTGTGTGGACTCTCCCAGTCACTGTTGAGCCGGTAATATTCAGTCCAGTCGTCTAAACTTCCCTGTTTGTTGTGTTTCTGTCTCTCGTCTGTCCAGGATTTATTTTGGAGAAGTCCAGCTGAATGGATTAGGGGAAGGTAACTGTAAAACACATATTTTCAAATAATTATCTGTCTTTGCCTCCTTATTACCTGTAACAGTTGGACAAGAACCAAACTAATTAAACATTACACTCTTAACAGTTTAGAACCTTCGTCACATCTAAACACAATGTAAAACAACAGATGACCTGGTTTCTGAGGAGTTCAAGTGGCTTCCTTTTGTAGGTCATAAGTTATTCTAACAAATGAATAGGCATATTTACAATAAATGAAATAGAATTTGTGCTGAAAACTGCATTAAACCAGCTGAAATATTTCTCAACTGAGATGTCCTATTTGTTTTTAAGGTTTTCAGACAGTGCGTGTCGGTGTCGTTGCTACCCCAGTTGGCACAGTCACACTTTCATGTGCCTATCGCACCAACCTGGCATTCATGTCTAACAGGTAACCAGCACTCTCTATCTGATTTTCTTAGAAAGGAAATTATTATTTTTATTAAAGTTACACAACTGTAGAATTGTCGTCCTCGGCAGGCAGTTTGAGCGATCCGCTCCGATCATGGGCATCATTGTGGATCACTTTGTGGATCCTCCCTGCAGCAGCCAGCGTCCTGCAAATATGGGTCAGCCCTGCAACTACAGGTAACCCTTGAAAGCTCTCTCAGGAGAGACACGTCTCAACTTCACTTGTGAGTCCTTCATTTTTAAATGTATCAACAGAAAGATGAAACTTAATTAGTTTGTGTTTTGTATTTTGTGTGTAGAGCTCCAGATGATGAGGATGGAGGACCATATGCAGGAGTTCAGGATTCACAGGAGGTCTGCACCACCTCCTTCTCCACCTCCCCTCCCTCTCAGGTATGACACACTCATTTCTTTTATCCTTTTTTCTTTAATCTTGTGACTTTTTCTCTCCATTTCCATACCTGGTTTTTATTTCACTTTCTCTTTTCTCTCTTTGTCTTTTTTGTCCTGATGTCCTTTTATTGAATGTTTTTTCCGTGTGTGTGTCTGCATTATCTCAGTGTGTGTGCACACTGAGTCCCTCTCCCTCTAAACTGCCCAAGCCCCTCCCTCTGGACAGTCTGCAGCTTCCATTGGCTCCTGGACTTGTCACTCACACTGTGAGTCTGCGCTGGCAACTGTGTGTGTGTGACGCGCTGAAACTGCACTGATCAACTCTGCTGCTCCGTCAGATTTCTCATGTTTTGTTTTGGGGGGGGTGTGGGTCCTTTTGTCGGAGGTACATCAGAAACTTTGTTTAACCATCATCCTTTTGTTCTTGTTTAAAGCTCCATCACTTACTAAAAGCTTTATGTTGTCCCTACAGTTTGCTGGTGTTCACTAGATTTTTTTCATCTTAATCTTCATTATTATCTCCATCACATATTTTACAGTAGAAAGATGGCACCTCTGTTCTTATAACAGCATAGCTGCTTTCAGACATGCGCTGAACTCCGGACATTCCCCAGAGTTTTTCCTGCCAGCCCCCTAATAAAATGTCAGAGAAATGTCAGACTTAGCCCCAAACTCACAGCAAACTTTGGGCGTGTAGATGACGTTTCAAACACAATGAACATGAGACTAAAACAAAAAAACGAATGCAAATATCTCAGGATGAGAGGTGACATAGATGTAGAAGACGCAGACGTCAGCTTGGAAAGACTTGGAAAGAGATTCGAGAGCTTTTGGTGACGAGGGTAACTACATTGTTCATATCTGAGGGGCAAAGTTCGGAGAATGTCAGGTCTTAAGTTGTCCGGAGTTCATGTCTGAAAACAGCCTTTATGTCTCCAGTGTTTTTCCTAATTCCCTACGTTTCTGTTTCCCCCCAGCTTTATGCTTCCAGATTATCCTACCATCCTCCAACTCTAGCGGGAGCTGCTGATCTTTGTCACCCCGCTGCCAATCCAAACCAGGTGATGCTGCAGTAACTCACCAATCACTTCACTCTTAGACACAGTAGAGTTTGACCAATCCATCAGCACAGCCATTGTTATTGGCCATTTTATCATAAGTGCTGATATCAGAGATCAGACTCTAGTCTACAAAAGATACACAGCCACTGTAGACAGAGAGAAAAAAGCTGGCTATCAATAAGATTAAACTTTAATTCAAAACTCCACCCTTAAATACTGTTATACTTCAAGTACCATTGTTCACTGTTGATTTAATGTTCTTCCTCTTCAGGTATTGCATGCTGTGAGGGAGGGCGGGGTTGTGCTGGTTCCTGCCTATCCTCATGGAACAGACACCCACCTGACAGTCAAGCACGCCCCCAACACGCCTGGCAGCAGGTACATTTCTGATGTCACTTAAACTCAGCATCATCCAAGTTATTCCCTTTTGTTTTAATGGTAATAAAGCACTGTGATAGTTACACGTGATGAAACCGTCTGTAACTGTGTCTCATCCCCATTTCCAGCGGCGATGATGACGGCCTGTTGCACAGCGATGAAGGGAGGAGGAGTGTTTCTCCCTCCGACCCGGTGGAGTCTCTCAACGCGTTCACGAGGAAAGTCGGAGCCTTTGTCAGTAAACCCGCCACACAGGTAAATCACATATAGTCAGTTGTGTTTATCCACTCGTGTGGGGTCAGGAAGGGAACACTACATTTTAAGCTGTGTGCGTGTCTTTGTGTAGTTAACAGCAGCCAGTCTGGACCTGCCATTTGCTGCTTTCGCTCCTCGAGGCCTGGACTCGGAGGAGAATGATCCCATGGTAACTGTTGACCTCTGATTGATGTGTTGTCTGATCTTGAAATGGACAATGAATAATATTCTTAGAAAAATACAAAAAAATTGACAGAGAAAGTTGAATCATACAGTCACTTAGTCATATTTTTCCGTTTGTGTTCAGGTGCAGCCGCCAGACTCTCCTCCCTGTCCGTCCCCCCTGCAGGCCAGCCTTCACTCTCAGGGCTCAGAGGGATCAGGGCAGCAGGACGATTTCGTTATGGTCGACTTTGTACGTACTCGTTGTTTAAGTGTCTTCTGCCCACTCACTACTGTCCAGACCTTCCCTTAGAGATGAAACATTAGAAAAAATCATTTCCACTCTCTGATAATGAGAATAATTGTCAGATGATCCATGATAATTTCCAATAATTTCTGGAAAACAAGGTAACACTACTCAGATGTTTCAGAAAGAATGATTCTATCCGCCTGTTTGCAGAGACCTGCCTTTTCTAAAGACGACTTGTTGCCGATGGATTTGGGCACCTTCTACAGAGAGTTTCAAAATCCTCCACAACTGGCCAGTCTCTCACTACACATCAGCTCGCAGTCGATGGCCGATGACCTGGTAACACATTTGTTTTTTTACCGTCAATTATGTTTTTATGTAGAGATGTTCTGATACTGCAGAGTGGCGGGTATTGGAACAGCTCTAATTTTAAATCTTTTGTTTCTCATTGTGTCCTTTAACAAAACCGTGACCAAACAACTGTGATTTGCATTTTCTTTCTGCAGGACTCGCTGCCCGAGAAACTGGCCGTCTATGAGAAAAACATCGACGAGTTTGACGCTTTTGTGGACATGCTCCAGTAGAAGAAGAAGAAGAAGAAGAGGAGGAGGAGGAAGGAAGAGGCCGGTGGGAGAGGACTGCATTCGAGAACGGATGAAATAGATAAGGACACAAAATTAAGGGAGAAGCACACTGGAGGCTCTGTAGTTGTTTGTCCTAAATCACCATGTTTTAATGTGAAGCACCTCATTTCCTCTCAACTTCCTGTTCAGCACGCTCACCACCTTTTCACTGTAAATACTGTATTATTTCCTCTGACACTGGCACCCTCTCCTCTCACTCTGGTTGTGTTAATTCAAACTGAAAATCTTCTGTGTGGTACAAAACATGGGTTTTTGTCACTTTAGACAGCCATGACATTCAAGGACAGACGGCTGTAGTTCACTGTAGTCTCTACCACCCTCGAGGTTTCCTTTAATCCGTGGCCTTTCTGATCATATCCGACCTGAAAGATGAAATCAAATCATAACTAGTCTTTTAAAGAGATTTTTTTTCTGAAATAATACCGTCTTAGCAGAGACAAATTGCACTTTGGCCTCACAGTGGATGCTTATAATGTGTTGAGAAAATGAGTTTCAACATAAACTTCAAGGCCTGACCGGAGCCTGGTGTTCCCAGCTGGACTGGGGATTCAAACTCTCAATGTCAGCCCCAGTAGAATTGAAAAGTATTCCAGACAGCCCTGGTATGTGTCGAGAAATCAAATCAATTTGTTGTGGAGCCCCGCTCAGATGCCAGTTAATTAAGTGCACTAGTCTAATGCAACAGTCCTGCAATAAATCTTTCGAAAAGATTAAGGTAGTCAGTTTGTGTTGAAAAGGATTCTGTAGGTTGAGCCCTTCCCATGAGATGGATGATACCATTTAACTGGTTTCTTGCAGGTTTCAAGAAGTCGCCTTAAAGATGAGGTAAAGTAGCAGAGTGGAGATTAACCCGCAAAACTTGTACAGACATTAATTCTGACCTGGCAGTTTACAGTCATCAGTTCCCTGTTGGTTTTTTCGTAGTTTTATTGCAGCGTGTTAATATATATAAGAACTACAATACCTGGAGACAAAGTGTGATGGAAGTAGTGTTAAATGGACATCATAACTAAGACCAACCTGAGTGCATATAATGTAAAAAGACTTTAAGACCCAGTTGGAATCCTTAATTACAATCTAAATGGAGGGAGGATTTATTGCAGGACTGTTGCCTTTGTTTTAGTTGTCTTCTAAAGTGTCAGCTCTGAATTTACAGAAGTCTGTGCAACATGCTTGTGTATATTTTGGGGATTTTGTAAAGGGAGAGGGGGGGTTAACACACTTCCAGCTGTCTACAGAAATACCAGGTCACCATCCATGACTGAGTTTGGTTGAGAGCTTTAATTTAAACATTGTGTCCTAATAAAGCATGGTTGCTCTGTTGAAACAAATGAGGAAACTTGTTTCTCATAATTCTCAAATGGAATTTTATTGGTGGTATTCTGGAGTTCTCTAACATACCTGCAGGACTGCGAAGGGTCGAAACCATAAAGAATAACAGTATGGCAGCACGCATTTTACAAATACTCTACAATTCATGTTCCACCAGCTTGTCATCTGCGCCGTTGTCAGCTACATCTCAACTGTCTTGTCTGAGGTGGAGCTGTCCAACTCTGCTACGTGAAGGGGCAGAGAAGCGTCCAAACATTTCATTTCCAGTGAACAGCTGTCTGAAAGGCTACGGAGGAAAGCTTCTTAAATCAATGTTAACTCTTTCAAGACAACGATGATGTAAATTTCCTAACTATTTATATTTTCTAGAGTAAGCCATTTAAACAAACATGCCGTTACTTTTGAACCATACCTTCTGAGGTCGCTTCCCCCCCCAGGTAACACGGAACAAAAAGAAATAAAAGAAAAATACAAAAGAAAAAAAAGAATTTCACAGGAGACAGGCAGTGTTTGCCCAGTGTGCATTTTCAACTTATTCAACTGCTCAGTCAAAGAGAATGTCCTGTCCCCAACCCCCCCCCCCACTTTGGCCCCTCTGAGCCAATGAGATGTATTGGGCTAAGTGGAGAATAAGTTCCTCTGGGCGCAGCGAGACAAGTCAGGGAATGGTTGGAAACCAGATGTCCGGATAGAAGATGAGTAATGGCGATACGACGCAGGGTGACCGATGCACTCTCGTTCCCATTTCCTTGGATACAGGGTTAAAGTCTTGGATGGCCAATGTCCTACATTGTCATAAATATCCAACCTGCTCCCCCAGTCTGTTGAACGTGGGTGGAGTTATAGAATCGTACGGTGGGATGGGGGTGTCCATTAACACTACAGATCGGAGCAGGAGGAAGAAGAGGGAGTGAACGGAGGAGATCCAGGAGCTCAACTTTTCTTCATGGGCTGTTTTATTTATGTATTTTTTTTAAAGGAGCGGGAAGGTAACCGGGTTGCAGGCTCAGGCAGTGTTCAGTAGGTCCTGTATGGCTTTCTGCTGCGTCTCGTTCAGTGACGATACACACTGCGTCCATAATCCTGCAGACATCTGGAGGACACGACAAAAGGGTCAACGTCAACTCTTAAACGTCTTCTGGACACAGTTCACTTTATATCCTAAATTTAAACTTCCATAAAATGTTTAGGCACCTTGGGCTGCAACTGTGGTGGTGCCAAATTCAAAATCTTGAATCCATATCTAGAGGACGTGTCCTGACATGGTGACATAGCTGTAACTCACCTGTACTTGACGGATGTCATTTGCGAGACGTTTGCTGCAAGCGTCTTCGCTCTTGACCGATTCATTTGCAACACCCTCTGCGATGATGAGGAAAATTTTGGGAAGGTTGGAGTTGTCTGGCCCGAGGACGATGGGGTTGTTGCTGTGGAGAGAAGATGAAAATCAGCAGGAGGGAAATGAGGAGTTTCATTTTTAAATTGGCAGTTATGTGGCGGTAGTCCTACCTTTCAATGAGGTCGCACAAAAAATCAAATGTGTGCACAGCCTCCTCTTTGTCCTCATTGAGTGGTAGCCAGCTGAGCCAGTGGGGAAGGATCTCGTTGACGTTGACGCACTCCGTCCGAAACCTCATGACCTTTCCGACAGCAGAGATGCAGTTCTCTGTGGCGTTTACGTTTTCCTTGGAGCGCGACTCGGCTGCCTGGATGACTCTGACCAGCAGCGGGATGGCCTCTGGAACAACGAAACACAAGACATCAAAAAAGATATCAAAGCAACGATATGGCAACGTCACCGCAAGCAAAAACCAGTAACCAAGTCGCACCTGTACAGAACTGGCGGTAGTTCTCTCCTCCGTACTGAGCCATGACACCAACGCCGTAGGCGGCCGCCTGCCGGACTTCAGGGCTCGTGTCACACAGCGACTGCAACATTGGCTGCAGGAAATATTCTGCGTATTTGAAGGAGGAGGGGCTGCAGTGCTCCACCACGTCGTCAAAGATGCACAGACCCCACTGTCTGTCCGCCCACGGCCTGTTGGGACACTTAAGACAAGCAAGACGATCAAGTTAGTCAGGGTTTCTCCTTCAATATGTGATGTGAGTTAAAATAGTCAAACAACTTTGGCACTCTCTAGTGGTCACTTTTTAAAAGTCCCACTATTTTTTCAGTGGACTTGTACTGATGATACAGAATATGAGAATAAAACACTAAGAACTTACTATTAGCTGTACGATGAGCTGCAGCAGCTGTTCGAACCATGGCAGCACCTTCTCTTTGTAACTACTGAACACTGAGTGCAGGATGTCTGACACTTTAGTCAGGATGTACACGTCATTCTCATCCTGGAGAAAAGAAAAAAGAAGGTGTTGCATTGTTGTTAACTCTAGATAAAGTTCCATGAGACATTTATTGGACCAAACAACCTCCAGCTTTACTTAAATATAAACATTTACCTCATCTTGTAATGTTTCCTCCACCTGCTCATCATAGTCTTCATCCTGTCTCTTGGCTGTGAAGACAAAGTGTTGATCTGATGTTAAATTGTACAAAAGATCACATTTTGAAGCACAAGACAAAAATCTAATTTTGATGGTAGTCCATGGTTGTGACAAAGACTCACTCTGTCTAAGGTCCTGGTTCTTAAAATGCTCCTCCAGTTTTCCTTTCAAGATGCCACCCAGCTCCTCGAAATGCTCATTGTTCAGACACCCGTCACCCATCAACTCAATACACTGATGGAAAACACAAACCTCAGTCAGAACAGAAACTGGACACAAAGCCTCGAATTATGCTGATTGTTTTAAGTTAAAGTTACCTTGGCAAAAGAGTGCATGATTTCTGACAGGACGTCCGAGTCCGGCTCTGTGCCGATAGCCTTGATGAGGGCGTCGCACATGAAGTGCCACATCTGGGTGAGGTACTCGGGTCCTCGAACACGAGCGCACTCCAGCAGCAGGGGCATGGACTCGGCTGCAGCCACTCGCACGCGTGAGACAGTTATGGAAAAGCCACAAACAAGGCTGATATTTTGATGAACAAATTAAATTGATAAAAAAAAAAAGTATTTATATTTTAGATGTTAATCGGAAATTTCATGTCAGTTTTGGTCAAAAGGATATCATCGTGGAAGTAGAACTTGAGTAGAGGAACCATCAGCTTCACCACCTGCTCCGTGTACTCAACAAAACCTTCCTTCAACTCTTTGGCATAACACACCTAAAAAAACAACACAAACATTTTACTAACATCCAGATCCAGGCATAGATGAACAATGGCTTTATGTCAGTGCTACTGGCTGTTCAAGATCTGACTCAGTATCCCTCGGGATCCTGTCAGTTTGGAAACCTCACTCTTATCAGGCACTCACCAGCATCTGACAGGCAGTGGCCTTCTCCTCTAGACCGGCCGTCTTGATGCCAAAACTTTGCTGGTCGCCCAGGTTGACAAACTCCCAGCCGTCATCCTCTGATATGTTCTCCATATCCTGGGCTAAAAGACAAAGACAGTTTTTATAAGATTATCAGTGCCTGTTTTTAAAGTGCGTTCAAAAGCCTCCATTGTTTGACTTACTGTCAAGGAGGGCCACCTCAGGCTTGATGGAGGCCGTCTTCATCAGCGGACCCATCACCACAGGCAGATACTGCTGAAACTCCTTACCCAGGATCTTACACATCCTGGCCCAGGCTGAGAKCATGTACGAGATCTAAACCACACACACAAAATGTGAGTTTGACTATGTAGAAAGGAATAATAGAAAGACGTAATAGTTCGAAATGTCGTCCATGTCTCCTCACCTGAGGATCGTCATCCTCCAGGTCATTGAAGTCTGTCTGGGTTTTGAGGAGCAGCTGCATGACGGCAGAGGCATCTGGCATGAACTAGAAATAGAATAGAGAGAATAAATAAATAAAAAGGGATTTCGCTTTGAGATCTCAGCGGACCGTTTGATCACATGCTTCACGGATGTACCTTGTCCTTGCCGACAGCCAGGCCGATAAGACTGATGCACTCTATGGTCTTGCCGCGAAGCAGCCGCAGTTCCTTCTGCACTGCATTTTCTACGATGTGTTTGAGCGAGGGCATGAACAGGTCATAATATGGCACAAACTTCTCCTCAGCCGTGTCGGCCACCGAGGCGATGGATGTCACCACTTGCTCCAGGACCAGTTTGGTGCCCTTCTGGATCAACTGTCGGGAAGAGAAGACAAAGTAAAGTGGATTTGTTTTGCTAGAAATGTCACATAATTCTATTGCATTACAATCCCACTGCTTTAATCAACACTGAATTGTTTTTTTGTTTTTTTACCTCCTGCAGCTTAGCAACCATGATGACATGAAGGTGCTGCACCAAGCTGTCCAGATATGGGATGAGCAGGGATTTGGGACAGTCCTCTGTGAAGTTGATGAGGGCGGCAGCAGCGTGTGCCTGCACCCGAGGGTTACTTTGGTCTTCCATGGTCTGAAGCAGAGCTGAGATCACCTGGAAGAGAGACAGACAGGGTGAGTCTTCATGGTCCATTTTGATTGTAGCTTGCGGAAGCTACTGAAATTGCAGCCACCAGAAAACATCAGTTTAAATACCTTATCGTGGAATTTCTTTTGGAAGGTTGGAGCAAAGTCTGTGGCCATCTGTCCAATAGCGTTGCAGGCAGCATAACGCACTCTTGGATGCTGAGGAGGGAAAAGAAAGTAAACTTCAAAACCACCATAAATATAGCAACATAGTAGCTGCCACGTGAACAAATCCTTAAACCGTAAGAACTTAATAATTTCTTACAGGGTCGGAGCAGAAGATGAGGACAAAGCTGACGATCTCCTGGAGGATAGCCTCCATCTGCTGGTGGCAGCCCTCACCAATGGCTGACAGCGCCATCAGCCCAGCGTGACGGTACTTCCAGTCAGCTAGCAAAAAACATGCAGGGTTAATCTGATGTTCAGTGACTGATTTAAAGCCTTCAATGTGCACAGTAGGTTTACTTACGGTTCTGCAGCATCTGCATGATGTGCTGTTTGATCATGGGCAAAATAATCTTTCCTCCCAGACCGCAGGCGATCCTGTCCAGAGCACTCTCCCCCGCCACAGCGTTACTGGTGAGTACACAAAAGATCTTAAAAGATACTGCCAAACATGTTCTGATCCTTTAGATCTCTAAATTTAGACGCAATAACTTTTCATCTTAGATGAAACTCCTGGAGTGAAGCTACAGAAAAAAATTCACTTTTTGATCCTAACCGCAATATATGTCCCTGCTGATGACCTTACCTATCAAAGTCATCATCCTCCAACTCATCAGCCATGGCCCACTCATCGTCATCCTCCAGGTCCACCATCATAGCCAGCATCTGGGGCACTGAGGACACAACACACACATAAGAGTTGTCTTGAACTATTCAACCTAACATCTTATGATGGAATAAGACTAATGGGGGATCTCTGAGTGAAGTTACTTGATATTAAACAAAATCCTC